ATTCAATCAAAGCAGTGGCTGTCCAGGGGAGGAAGTAACCAGTCAAAGCAAAATCTGAGTGTTCAAGAGGAAAGGTCATGGCCACTGTCTCCTGGGATGCAGAGAGGATTTTGCTAGTTGACTTCCTCGAGAGCAAGAAAACAATTACATATACTTATTATGAAGGCATTTTTGAGAAAACTTTTTAAAAAATCTCACAAAAACGCCCTAGAAAGCTGCATCGGCATAGGTAAAGTTTTGACTAGATATCTCTAAACCGGAAAAAATATATGCATGTTATAGAGCAAATAAATCTAAGAAACTTATCTTCTATGAACTGCCATCGCAAATCAGAAATATTTAAAAAATCGCCATCCGCTATCCTTTCCTACTTTTTGAAAACAAAACTATATTGCCGTTTTATTTGTTCCATTTATTGTAATACTTTCATTTCGTTATTAGATAAATTCCGCATAAACTTACATGAAGGTGATTTAGTTTCTGCATAAAAATATCTGACAATACACGAGTAATGCCATCATAAAATCGAGTATTTACAGTAACTATGACCTTTATTACTCTGCGCAAACCGATGTGTCTGGTCCATATTACGGGCAAGAGGGAACTGAAGAATTACGCGCGATTTTCAAAAACAACAATGTTTCCGCATGAACGGCGCACGAAACTTTTTGAAACTTTTATTATATACCACATGCGCGTGACAACTGTCACGAAAGCCAATAGTATTACAGGAAATAGTATAAACCAATCACATGCCACCATTTGTGCCACATGTATGTATATTGGGCAAGGAAAGCAAATATACAAAATATTTGCCCCCAAAAATTGTTTCGAAAGTCGGAGGCTGGTTGAAACTTGAAATTTACCGCTTCATCATCGCACCCGTTCACGGCGCCCGGCAGACAAGAGCTGTGCTACGTGAATTTCGACGGGAAATCGTCCACCATACAGCCCCAATTTAGCCCCATCCGACTTCTTTTTATTTCCAAACTTAAGAAAAATCATTGAAAGGGCATTTAAGGGTTCATGTTTGAACACTTTATAACACGCTTGTACAAGAATATTCAGGTGCACTGAAATCAAAATCCTTCCGTATGATTTTTAGTTTTGAACTTTTTACAAGAACTTTTTGAAGCCCCCTCGTATATATATGTATATATATATATGTATGTATTTATGTATATGTGTGTATATGTGTATGTTTTGTGTTTATGTGTGTTTTATATGCATGCGTTTCGAAGAGGGCGATTCATCCCCTTGTGTATGTTCTTTTACTTAAATACCTTTCAACAGGTGTATCATCTGCCGAGAGTGGCATTCCAGTCGCCGTGCGGACCATAGAGTGGCTGAGGCTCACAAATCGTGAAGGAAAACCTGATTGACGCACGTCTACCCTTCTTTTTCACAGAACTGCAAAGCGTATACATATGCTTTGGGTGAAACGACTGCCTGTGCAGTGTTGACATGGAAATTCCAAGATCTTGGTTTAGTCTTCCTAAATTCTATAAATCTACATTTATTTGCTTGCGAAAGGATAAATAAGATATGATGATAACGTGTATATTCATCAAATAAATTATTTAGAGCAACAACAATCAATATACACACACAGACACTGTATATGTGTTAGAAAACATGTTTTAAGAGAATATCACAAACAAAATGCCCAGTCAAATAACAAGCCCAACGAAAGTCCTGACGCAGCGTTTAAGGCTTTCTCAGTACATTTATGTAGAACCTCCCAGGGAGCAATACAGTGTTTCCATTTCCACTAATCATTTTCACAGGACGTGCATAATAGCTATCAGTTCTAGGGATGAAAAGAAAAATCGAGAAAAGATTTGGAGCAATATGTGAGAAAAATGATAATGATAATTAATGGTATTTTTAAATTATGATGACTGAACTTTCAGATCCATTGTATACATCCACTTCTAACCTTGAAGGAATGCACCGTCCTGGTCCTTACAGGAAAATGTGTGTATACACACATACACGCAATCACACGCATACATATATACATATGTATGTACGTGTGTGTGTGTGTGTGTGTGTGTGTGTGTGTGTGTGTGTGTGTGTGTGTGTGTGTGTGTGTGTGTGTGCGTGCGTGGGTGCGTGTGTGTGTGTGTGTGCGTGCGTGCGTGTGTATGTGTGTGTGTGCGTGCGTTAAATAAATTAAATGTTTTATATGTAAATGAGTTGAGAAAATAAAGACATGATCCTTTCAATACATATCTTACAGTGATTCACAAATCACCGTTACTCTAGAATCTAAATGATCTGTCCTGAACCAAACTCCTTGATTGGTTTCCATTCAAGCGATTCTGTATAGTAACCAGTATCTTCCACAAAAATATTACAGAAACATCAAGACGATGAAAACTCATAACCAAAAGCCTCATTTATATCTAATAATAATATCAACACGGCAGCGGTATCTTGAAATTACATGCAACAATTCTGCATGTACTGTACTACACATTTTGCTCTGTACATTTCTCGATTTTAGTTTTGCATGTTGAAATAATATGTCCAATATGTTTATGTCAAACACAGGCATTCATTTCTGCTAAGATTGTTTAAAATCCTATTTGAACACTTTAGGTGGCACCACTGAGATTTTTGTCATTCTCAGATGAGTGCCAGCACGGAGTCGGGAGCAATTCCGCTTCTTCTTCCTTGCTGCCCGATGTGGTCGTTTCAGCAGCTGTTGTTGTCGTTGCTGTTAGTGTAGTTGTTTCAGGGTCCACTACGTCCATACCATAATCTTCATACTCGTAGTAGTCATAATAACTGTAGTCGTCATTGTGGGCGAACTCTACGGCAGGCCAGGAGGGCGACGGCCACATCTCCTCGCCGTCGTTGGGGGAGCTCGCAGAAGAGTTCCTCGATGGACCTGTGTTCTCTCCGTTAACGGCCTGATGGAGGTCGGAGGCGGACGCCGGCGAGTTGTCGAAGACGAAGCGCAGGTCTGGCGGAAGGCTCGGGTTCAGCTCCTGGAGGCCATACTCGATTGCCTGAAGGAGCCTTGGTCCCTCTTCAACGTCGAACAGCTCAATCTCCACCTCATCCCGTGAGTCTGTCTCTACACCTGCAAGTTCTTTATGATTAGTTTCAATTTTCTTAACCAGATGTTATGCATTTTTAAGCCGTAAGTTAAAACTTGAAAGGAGAAAAAACTTTCAAAAATAATATTAGTGAAAACTGGTGTCTTTCTTTTTCTTGACGACAAAACGGAAATACTTAATCCACAGCTCATTTTGCGCTACTGTCCCTATTGATTTTGATTACGTTAGATTACGTTTTTTACACTGGTTTACCTGGAGGAAGCTGGACTTGCGCCTGTGCGGTGGAGGTTCGTGCTTTATTGATGATTGCCTTGTACACGTCGAGGGGACTCAGCTGGCCAGTCAGGGGAAGCTCCAGTGACACCGCCCCACTCCGGCCGCTGGCAAAGTCGTCGACAGTCCTAGAAAAAGGAAACACGAATTTCTTATAAGCTGTAATATTTAACTGCATCTTTCTTAATATCTTCCCTCTGTGTATATTTTATCCCTTCTTACTTTAACGTTATCTGAATGACGCATCTCTCCTTGTCAAGCATACCCTTGTCGGCGAACGGACAGAGGAGACTTCGAAAATAGGTTCAGATGGAGGATGACCTCGTGCTTGTTGGCGTCGTCCCTGTCACTGAATCTGTCGTTGTTGTTGTATCTGTTGCCATTGTTGTTGTTGAATCCATTTCCATTGTAACTGCCGTAGCTGTTACCATTATTATAAGCATTTCCATTGATGCCACTATCATAATTATTGGAACTGCCACCACTGAATCTGCCTCCATTGCTGTTTGAATCGAAGCGTCCATTACCCCCGTTGAAAGAAATGCTCGTCTGGAAAGGTCGTGAGCCAGATGGCACTGGGTTGTCATCCATGGGATACACGTCCAACATGATGTTAAAAGGTCTTGACTTCGAAGTACCGCGGTCATATGTGTTCTGGACAGGAGGAATGACTGACATGCTGCTACCGCCATTGAAACTATTACCCCCGTTATTTAAATTTCCGCCACCGTTATTGAAGTTACTGTTACCGTTGTTGAAGTGATTACCACCTTGGTTGAAATTGTCACCACTGTTAAAGTTATTGCCTCCATTGTTGAAATAATTGCCCCCACCGTTACTTCCACTGTTGAAGCCGGGAATCCCGCCGCCGCCACTCACGCGAACACCATTTCCTCCTCCGCCAAAATTGTTTCCACCACCGTTGTTAAAATTACTTCCGCCACCACTGTTGAAGTTATAATTATTGTTGAATTTCTCTCCACTTGTCTGCTGGATGTTTCCGAAGCCCACATCGCTTTGGCTTTGGATGTTGATATTGCTCAGGGTGTCGCCAAAGGGGTTGCTGCCTATGATGTGGTCTTGGCTGCCAATGGTGAAGCCACTGTTGGGCCTGAAGCCGTTGTGGCCAACGATGTGGTCTTGGCTTCCTATGGAGAACCCAGGGGGGAGTCGCACGTCCTTGCTTTCACCTTGCCTTTGGTCCTTGTCTCTCATGTACCTGATGATGTCCTGGATGCTGTCTGAGTCGCGTGGGTACTGGAAATCCCTCGGCGGTCGGTGGGCCGGTGCCGGACGGGGTTGTCTGCGGCGCACGATGGGCATACCAGGAGGAGGAGGAATGGGGGGAAGCAGGGGGCGTCGGTAGTGGGGGCGTGGTGGTCGTGGTTTGGGGAGCGGGCCTGACATGCGGGATTTGGGGAGCAGTCGTGGGCGCACACGACGGGCGGGTGGTAAGGGTGGTGGCGGTCCAAGTGGGTGTCCAGGTCCTCGAGAGGTTATCATTGGGGATGGTCTTACCCGAGCCCGCGGAGGGGCCCCGGGCGGTGCTCGAGGCCCAACGTTTCCTGCGGGCGGCGGCACGGCCGGGCGACTGGAGCTAGGGTTAGGCAGCAAAGGACTGCCACTGGGCCTGCTCATTATGTCAGCCAAAGAATTCCATATATCCTGTGCCGTGTGCCCAGGAGACGGCGGGTTCCCGAGGTCAGGGTTTCTGTCTACCCCATTTGCACTGTTCATATTCCTATTTGCGGTGATACCCCTGTTCACACTATTCATATTTTGCATATTTCTCATCCCGCTATTAACATTGTTAATTCTATTCCTACTGTTCATCCCACTGTTTATACTTGGCCTATTATTTACACCTTGATTCATGGTATACACATTAGTGTTTCCTTCTGCAGTGTAGAAATCACCGTCAGTAAATCTACTGGGTATATTACTCATGCCACCATTCATACCGATTATTCCGTTTCTGCTGTTAGTTCCTGTATTCAGTGGAGGGTTCCTGAGGTTGGGACTGTGGCCACTCAGGGGCATCCGCGGCTGCTGGGGGCGGCCGGCGGGAACAGGGGGGAGGTGCACTGGCCTGCGAGGAGGTTGCTGGGGGAAGGGTAGCCGCGGAGGCCGCCTTCCGGGAGGAGGAGGGGGAGGCCGTCCGTTCTGGACCGGGAACTGAGGGCCCATGCCCATCATGCCAGGAGCACCTCCCTCCGGCATGATCATCACGGGAACAAATACTGGGTTGGAGTTAGACGGTCTTCTCTCCTCCTCATCGTCTTCCTCTTCATAATCCTCTTCTTCCTCTTCATTATTAAGTGGAACGGGGATATATGCCACGTAGGAGCGCCCTTCGGGGTCCGAAGGCAGTGTTCCATTGGTGTTGGTGCCCGATGCACTGTCCTCATAGCCAGTGTCATAGTTATCATAGTCTCCGTCGGCCTCTGCCGTCGCAGCTTCCTTCCCCAGGGCGGGAGCGTCGCTGGACGCGTGGCCGAAGCCTTCGATGGTGAGACTCCGCACGGGGAACCCCGAGGCCTCTCCGTCCCCAGGGTCTCTCTTCGCGATGGAGTTGACGAGCGTCGGGTCCGTGAAGTTGCCTCGCCGCTCCATGAGGTCGTCTGTCTCCAGGTCGAAGTTGAAGATGTCCAGTGGAGATTTCTCGCCCATAATGGTGGTGATAATCACATAGAACTGAAAAGACATTTGTCTGAGATATTTAAATAGGAAGTATTCGATCATTCTTCAAAAAAGAAAAGAAAAAAAAAGAAAAAGGAAAAATATACTTATACACAAACACACATATATATACTCGATATGTATGTAAAGACATACAAAGTCGCGCGCACACACACACACACATACACACACACACGCACACACACACATGAAAATATATATATATATATATATATATATATATATATATATATATATATATATATATATATATAAATTTATATAAATATATTTATACATATACACATGTACACACACACACACACACACACACACACACACACACACACACACACACACACACACACACACACACACACATACACACAAACACATATAGATACATAAATATATATACACACACACACACATATGGGGGAGTACATGCCAATGAGTAAAAGAGGTGTCGTGGTTAGGTCAGTGATAACAAGTGCTGAAAATTTGAGAAGTGATCTGTGATAGTACCACATAAGAGAGAAAGATTTGTAAATATATAGAACTTACATTTCAACCAAAATATAGATAATAATTCATCCAAACATCTGACATCTACAAGATGTGGCCCTTTTAAACTAAGAGGAGTGCCAGAAAATACCAACAAGGAATACTGAGAGAAAGCCACAGCATCACCTGTCCCCATATCCAGAGGACGCCGAGTAACAGTGCAAATCGCATGGATAGTACAGTTTTCCCTCAAGTAGATTCGCTAAGTCCACACCCTGCTGGAGAGGCTTATGGTTTATCTTGGCTAAACTACTCCTCATCCCCAGGAGGCGAAGGAGCCCCTGGTTACGGCGGCGATCAGGATCGCTCCGGAGCAGAGGGTGCTAAAAATCTCCAGTTAAAAACAATCTGCCCCACATTGATGAACCTTTGCACATAAAATATAAGGACCATTAGAACTGAATCCGACGTACTAGCATTACATGAGGAACTCTCTTTCACTAAATGGAATATTGTAGGACTGTGAAGTTAGAAGACTAGACGAAGAACAGAAGATACTAAATGCTCTATTGGAGAGGTAAACCCTAGGGTAGTAAGCAAGAATTAGAGATTGGTTTCTTAGTTCACAAACGTTTAGAAAAGAATATCGTGGAATTCTATAGTATAAGCGAAAGAGTGGCTTCATTAACAATAAAATTACACAATAGGTACAACTTAAAGTTCGTTCAACTTGCAGCCACAATGGTGAAGAAATAGAAAGCTTCTATGAAGATGTTAATTTTGCCAGCGAGAGAGTCAAAACACATTTCACGATAATTATGGGAGATTTTAATGCAAAAAGAGAATTACTACGAATGAGAGGTGACAAATGCTAATCAATTTTGCGGAGGCTCGATCACTCCATAATGAATACATTCTTCGAAAAAAGACTAGAGCGGATGTGGACATGGAAGTCGCCATCTGGCATTAAGAACGA